TCTGTCCACTTCTTCTGTGTTTTCCATTTTATTGGAGTACAGGTTCTCAAAGTAGGTATTCATGATCTTCTGGATTTCTTTTGGATCTGTGTGACTTCGTCTTTTTCATTCCTGATTGCATGGATCTGAGCCTTTTCTTTCCTTTTTTTAATAAGATTAGCTAAGGGTTTGTTGATTTTATTTATTCTTTCAAAAAACCAGCTCTTTGTTTCATTTATTTTTTGTATCATTTTCTTAGTTTCTATTGCACTGATTTCTGCTCTTATCTTTATAATTTCCTCTCTTGTTCAAGCTTTGGGTTTTTCTTGATCTTGTTTTTCTAGGTGTCTAAGTTTCATCATTAGGTTGTTTATTTGAGCCCGCTCTGTTTTCCTAATGTGGGCATTCAATGTTATGAATTTTTCCCATAGAACTGCTTTCATTGTGTCCCATAGATTCCTGTATGTTGTATTGGCATTTTCATTTATTTGTAAAAACTGTCTAATTTATTCTTTAATTTCCTCTGTAATCCATTGATCGTTTAGGAGAGTGTTGTTCAGTTTCCATGTGCTTGTGAAGTTCTTAAAGTTTCTTGTGCTATTGATCTCCAGCTTGATTGCACTATGATCTGATAATATACAGGGGATGATTTTAATTCTTTTGCATTTATTCAGACCTGTTCTGTGAGCCAATATGTGGTCTATCTTGGAAAATGATCCATGTGCAGCCGAAAAGAATGTATATTCTGATTTTGTGGGGTAGAATACTCTATAAACATCTATTAAGTCCATGTGTTCCAAAGCTTGGCTCAGTTCTATTATTTTGTTGTTGATTTTCTGCCTAGATGATCTGTCAATTTGTGATAGTAGGGTATTTAATCTCCCACTAAAATTGTATTAGTGCTTATTTGGTTTTTCATGTTACTTAATATTTGTCTTATATAGTTGGGGGCATTTATATTTGGTGCATATATGTTTATGATTGTCAACTCTTCCTCTTGAATTGTTCCCTTTACAAGGATGTAGTGTCCTTTTTCTCACTTAATGAGTTTAAGTTTGAAATTTACTTTATCTGAGAGTAATGTTGCTACCCCTGCTTTTTTCTGGTCTCCTGTCACATGGAGAATTGTTTTCCATCCTTTCACTTTCAGTCTATGGGCTTCCTTTTGCACTAGGTGTGCTTCTTGTATACAACATATTGTTGGATTTTGCTTCTTAATCCATTCTGCCAGTCTATTTCTGTTGATTGGTGAATTGAGGCCATTAACATTGATGGTTATAACTGATATATTCTGACTTATTATTGTCATGTTATTGTCCTTTTGTTGACTCTTTTAACTTTTTCTCCTGTCTCCTTTTAGTTTCTTGCCTTGCCTAACAGACCTTGATTTGGTCTGTTTGGGCCTCATGGTATTGTGATCTTCATTATCCTTGTCTAGGATATTGTTTAGAATTCCTTGTAGTGCTGGTTTGGTGTTCATGAAATTTCTCAGGTGTTCTTTGTCGTGGAAGTATCTTATTTCCCCATCTATTTTGAAAGAGAGTTTTTCAGGATACATCAGTCTAGGTTGGAGGTTATTTTCTTTTAGGACTTGGAATACCTCACTCCAGGCTCTCCTTGACCTAAGGGTTTGTGTTGAAAAGTCTGCTGTGATTCTGATGGGCTTTCCTTTGTATGTGATTGGTTTCTTTTCTCTTACTGCTTTTAGTATTTTGTTCTTCTGTTGGGTTTCTGGGATCTTGATTATTATATGTCTAGGTGTAGATTTTTTTTTATTGTGGCTAGTTGGGGTCCTATATGCCTCAGTTGTCTGAATGTCAAATTCTTTCCCTCTGTTTGGGAAGTTTTCTGTCATTAATTCTGCAAACAGCTTTTTTAAGTCATTTGTATTTTCTCCTGCTACTTCATGTATTCCTATCAGTCTTATGTTATTTTTCTTTGCATCATCTAGAAGTTGTGGGATTGATTTCTCATGATCCCTTACTGTTTTTGAGAGATCTCTTTTTTCACGGTCACTAACTGCGATCCTATCTTCTATATCTGAAATTCTATCTTCGCAATCTTTTATTCTGTTGTGTACACTTTCAATAGAGTTTTTAATCTCCTGAATATCTGTTTGAATCTGTTTTATGGATTCCATTTCTTTCCTCTGTTGGGCATTCATTGTTTCCATTTCTTTCTTATGCTGAGTCTTCATGGCTTCTATCATGGTTTTGAGCTCATCTATTTTTTTGTCAGTTTCTGTTCTAGAGTCTCGAATCATGACTTCCATTTTGCTCATCATCTCTATGGTTAACTGGGAAATTATTTCTGATTTGAATTTTTCTAGAGCCTGATTGATCTGTTTTGTTACCTCCTGTGCTGTGGATCCAGGGTGTTCTGCTGTTTCACTATCAGACTTTTCATCTTCATTTGTCCTACTGTTTGCCATTGGTGAACTGGAAATCTGTCTTTGTGTCTTGCTTAAGTGTTTTTTCATTTTTATTTTTGTTGTTGGGTTGTCCTTCTTTAATTTCTGGGTATTACTTAAATCTTCCTGATATAGTTGTATTTTAGCTTTTGAGTTTCTAATGACTCATAGACATCCTCATTTTCATAATATCAGAGAAAATGACTCATTAAATCAATCACAATCCTTTATCCCAATTGATGCATTCAGCAGCCCAATAATATCAAGCACAGCTTGCAAACTGACCACTTGTGGTAGTCATTAATCTATCACCTTTAAACCATGTGAATTAAATTAATATCAAGAAGCAGCCCAAAATATCTTTGCAGTGAACATGCTTTTCAGTATAGCATCTTTACCATTTAGGATGGGGGGTTAGACTGAGTTAGGATGAGAGGAGTAGATAAGTGAAAGAACTGGAGCAGGTTTGAAGTGAAACCAGAGGATGTAGAATGACCTTACTATCTTTATGAAGCTATTAACTTCAGAGGGGATAGACAGAGTGCAGGAATAAGGACAAGAATATATCCCCTTAACAGTAACAGGCGCTTGCCTTTCCTTGAAGCTTTGGAGCCATGAGTGAGGTAAAATGACTGGAGAAAAGAACATAAAGAACAAAACAAAACAAAACAAAACAACCCCCCCAAAAAAGCAAAAATAATAAAAAAAGAAGTCTGAGTTAGGGCAGGAACAGGAATAAAAAGGGAGATGAGGGATAATATGGTGGAGCAAGAGACTGAGTTGGAGAGAGAGGAAAGAAAAAAGAAAGAAATTTTAGGGTGGAATGAGGAAAAGAAAAAAAAAGAATTTGAAGGACCTCTTTCAGACTATGTCTCTGTTGTCATATTATACCACATGTACAGCCATATGTAGAACTGAATCCCCTGGTCTCGGCTAGCCAATGGCAGGTCCCCATGACTGAGACTGACCTCAGTCCACAAGGCCTAACTTGAGTTTCCCAACCCGTGAATTCCACTGAGTTCTATTACAGGTTTCCCCTGCCCTTTCTTTAAAGATGTTCAAAGTTGGGAGCTCAGAAAACTACCCTTCATGAGCACCTATTTCTCTGCAGAGTGGGTCGAAGGACTGGCCCAATCAGGAGGTTTGAGAACTGGTGGGGAGCAGGTTGTGGAGGTGCATGCTACCTTACTGGATCTGGTGGCACACAGTCTGGAGGTCGTGCACCTGCTGGGTGGTCCCGGGCAGGCAGCTGGAGAGCTGTTCCTCTATTTTTGTTCATTGCTCCCTTTTTCTCTGTTTTGGATTATTTGTTTGAATTTTATTTCATCTGATTTACTTTATTTTTATAAGTTGTACCTTTTTGTTTCATTTCTAGATATTAATATAAGAATTACAATAGGCAACTTTAGCTTTTTACAGACTATAATTTATTAAATTGTGCTACTTCACATGTAATTTAAAAAAAACTATACAACAATATATCTCCATCATCTCCTGTGCTTTCTACTATTTTGGTCATGTTATGAACCCCATGATTTATTTATTGTTATTTGTTGTGCTTCAAACTAGCAATTTTAGTTTGAAAATTAAGGAAAGAGAAATACATCTTTTGCATTTATTCACATTTGTCATTTCAAGAACTCTTTATTTCTTCTTGTTCACTTGTGTTTCTAATTATAGTTTTTAAGTTTCTTTGTGCATTAGGATAATTCATTTTGATATTATTTTTGGCTTTATCCTCACAAATACAGAAACCTCATTAAAGGCTCTTCCTCAATTCTCAAAATGGCTTCCTTTTTGGCCCAGTGTGTAGGCTCTTTGGGGGCAGTGTCATCTCTCCCAGTTATTGGTGGGTTTCTGAGCCAAGCACCAGCCTTGGCAAGGCAGAGAAGGGCTGGAGATTTAGCTGAGAGGTTCCACTGCCTGCCTCACAAACGCAAGGACCTGAGTTCGATCCCTAGTACAAAGAAAGAAAGAAAAGAAGCCAGAGAGGTTTCTACTAGGTATTCTAGCTGAGTATACTTCCAGGAAGAACCCAATGGAGACCAGGATTTTCTCTGGAGGTACAAGGCAGGTACCCCAACTGTGAAGCAAACTGGGCTTGCAGCATCATCTCTGGGGTGGATGAGAACAATGAAGGATGTGAGCGGGTGGGCCGGAGCAGGTGGGGCCAAGGCAGCCACAGGACCGAGAGCATAGACTGTCTATGGGAGCATCCTCTGATTTCTGGCCACAAAACCCCAGGATTTTGGTATGCTCCATGGGAAAAGAAATGACCTCCATAACTAAGGTTGCACTTCATGCAGACCTTGGCAAGGGCAGAGCTAAGAGCAGAGTCAGTGGGAATTCAGAGACAATTTCACATTCCGGGTCCTGGAGCAATGTATGGCAGGTGCTGTCCTGTACTTCAGGCCTCTGCCTCTGGGTTAGAAGTTTGAAGTTCGTTCTGTGCCAGGAGGTGCAGTCAGGGCCTAAGCCAGCACTGTGCCCTGTGGGGAGCCGTACCCGCCTGGTAGTGGATGAGTAATTATACATAAATACGTTAGCATGACTGATATTCGAGTGGGGATTATAGATGATTTCAAAATGAAAGGCAGTCCAGCAAAGTTACCAATGCTCATATCTTTGAACCCAAGCTTCCGTTTCTCGGAATTTAGCCTAAAGATATATGAGCATATTTGAGAAATTATGCATAAATGAGGTACTTCTTTGCCACTTTCTTTTTTTAAAATTTTAATCTGAACCACTTTGCAGACATAATAAGTTAGAATACCACTTACAACCAGTGCCCACCAGGATAAAGCCATGAAAGGGGTGCCTGTTACTCGCAAGTCCCCAAGTGCACAGCACAGTGTGGCAGGGAGGGCACAGCACGATATGTTCAATGAGTCTTTCCACAGACAAGTACCGCTTCAGTTGGCAGTTTGTTAAATACACAACATTTGTACCTTATTTTGTAGTCTTTTTATTTATTTATTATTTAGTGTACCAGGGATTGAACTCGGGACCTTGTGCTTACGAGGTGGGCAGTGGCACCACTGAGTTAAATCCCTGGCCCTCGTAGTCTTTTTTAAATGGTTCACATATGGACTTAGTAAAAATATACTTTATAGAAAACTTTCTGCAAAACTAAATGAAAAAAATGTATTAGATGAGCTGATGAATCGTCAGGAATTAATTTAATTTGTACAGGTGCTCATGAAGTATTAGATGGTTTGATTTTCTTAAATCTGTTACCAGACCATAACTTCAAAAGTGTTCATGGTGAAAGACAAAACTGCTCCATAGCATTCAGAAACAGCAAAAAACACTTTTTCTTTTACAGGTACCTTTCTAAATCCATTCTTGAAGCATTCCCTCTCCCTTTCAGAGAATCAGTTGCACAAACTGAGGAGGCAAAAAATTGATTTCTTTTTAAAAAAACAAAATAGAGCCTATTTACAAAATATGCAAAAGAATTTTATATAAGGCATTACTACGGAACTAGCTAAAAGGGAATACAGGTGAGAGACAGAATACACCTTTACTTCTATAAATGTAGGTCCTTTTCCCTACTTTCTGGGAGAAATACATTGTTTAGGGCATGGGCTATGAAACAGCATACAATGCAAAGACAAAAACAAAGAAGTTTGTAAACCCTTTCTCTTTCCAGCAGGTGAGACAATAGAGTGCTGAGCCAGAGGAACCAGAGCCAGCTATTAAGCAGCCAGAATGCAACAGTTATTGAATCCGTGACCCTTTTCTTTAGCACATTCTTTGTTTTCCTCTTCCAGAAGTTGTAGAAGTCTATTTGGTTTGGTTATCTGTTGTGTTAACAAAGCTGCATCTACAACATTCATGTCATCTGCTGCTCCTTCAACTGTTGGATCTATACTTGAAATGCCGTACCTGATGTTATGATGAGGGCTAGAAGTGGCAGCAGACCCACCATGCAACACAGGTCTTTCACAATGTATCTCATTTTGTCTTCTTACACCGTGACTTTCATCCAGCAGATCTCAAGTAGAGAAATGGATGAGCAACAGAATGGAAAGATTAGCTCCATCTTCAGGTGACATATGGAGAGGACAGACCTGAGCCTGTGGTGGCCATGGTGTCACACTAGAATCATTTCTGATCAGCTTGTCCTTTTGGTGAACAGCATTTTCACTCACAGAGCACTCTCTTTTTAGCCTGCCAACTGCACAGATCTGTTCATTTTGAGGGGTTGCAGAGGCCTTTCTAAGACCAGAAAATCTGGTGGTCTTTCACTTCGTGTAAGTACACGAGGTGGTGTTTTTAGTGTCAGAGGCTCTAAAGGAGTTGATTGAACAAGGTCAAGAGCTGCTGGTTTTGAAAAGGAAATGTCTTCATTATTTCCTGCTACAACAATCCTCTCTGGAACTTGCATTATCACACTAGCAGTTGGAACTCCTTGGAATCCTTGCTCCAGGTCAGCATTTGGTGGTGCTACTTTTTGTTTGTTTGTTTGTTTGTTTTGAGACAGGGTCTCACTATGTAGCTGAGACTGACCTGGAACTCACTATGTAGCCCAGGCTGGTCTCGATCTCACAACGATCCTCCTGCCTCAGCCTCCCGAGTTCTGGGGTAAGAGATATGTGCCACCATGCCCGGCTTGGAGTTTTAATATTTCTGGAACCCTCACTCGCTGACTAATACCTTCAGTGTATTCCATTTCATACTGAATTTGACTGATTCATGCCATCTCAGCAGCAGTGGGAGAAGGAAACGCTGCCACACAAAGGTGTACCAAGCACCGCTTGATGTTGGTGCTGTCTGTTCCTATGTTTCGTATTAAACCCTTAACTTGCTTCACTATGCACGGACTGGACTTGGAGCCACTTCTGTCCCCCTGGGCCCTCTCTAGAGTCCCGCGGAGGGCTGCCACCTGCAGGCTCCTGGGGCACTCTAAGAGGCCATTGGAGCACTGCCTGCCTTGGGCAGCCCACTGCAAGGCACCCACGGAGCAGCCCACAGCCAGCCTGGGACAGACGTGGAACATCAGGGATTCTGCAGCTTTCTTTTATAGCACCAGATTGGGAACAACCCAAACATCTATCAATAGGGGACTTAGTGCTGAGTACACTGTGGTGAACTACTGTAGAGCTGAACAGGAACCTTTAATGAAGAGGAATTATCTAGCACATATTGTAAAATGAGAAAAAAAATGAACAGAGAGAACAGTGTGAGGAATATAATATAGGAAAAGAAAAAATGGGACCAGGGTATAGCTCAGTGGTAGGCCCTGGGTTCAATCCCAGAACCCACCCACCCCCGAAAAAAAGAAAAAAAGAAAAGAAAAATATAATATGCAGGTATGTATGCGTGTTTATGAATCGCATGCCTCTGGAAGGAAACACAGCAATCTGATAATGCTGATCCTCCCTGGGGAGAGGAATTGAGAGGCTGTGCAGAGCAGTGAGAGGGAGAAGTTTTACTGATTATGATTTTGCCTTTTTTGAACTTTTAATCATATTAACATATTTTTTTAAAAAGCCAAACAAATTTTTTAAATTTTTCTCATGAATGGACTACTTCCATTTTTTTAATTTTTAAAAAGGAAAAAGAACAGGATTGCACCATTGACACAAAGTAAGGTCTAGTTGAAAAGGAAAAAAGAACTTACATCATTTTCCACCTGGAAATGTGTTTTGAGATGGCCCCTTGTATTAAGGATGTTAAACCAGATGCAGTTCAGCCTTTTCACCAGTGAAGCCAGTAACAAGAATCAGGTAGGAAGCTCTATAGCACTGTTGAAAAATGTGTCCTGTGAATTCCTCTAAATAGAAGTGATTTTAAAATCCAGTTTTATGGCAGTCTTCTCTTCAGACTTTATTGTCATTAACATCTGGTTTTTAAAAGAAAACAGCTTCCACTCCAGGCATATGGCTGAGCCCTGTCAAAGCTACTTAAAGAACAGACAGAACCTACGTCTGGGGCCACGATCAGCAGCCAGGTGCATAGCAGAGGCTACTGGGGCCAAGCACTGGGTCATGCAAGAGATGGGTGCTGGTGGTGGGTGGGAAAGTAGGTGCTCTGAGGAGCTGGGTGCTTACAAACTCATGCCCTGGACTGACTACCCCATGACAAGCACCTGCGAATCCATTCCCGTGCCGCCTCCTGTGCCAGTGGCCCCGGTGGGCTCACCAGAGAAGGCCTAATTGTCCCCTGGTTATTGGGTCTTACACTGTATTCTATGTTGCCCTCATCTGATAATCAAGAGGCAATGCTTTCTTTAATTAAATCTTCACCGTGGGATATGCAAGGTGGACCTCTGGAGTCATTTCCATTTTCTTCATTTTAGAAATAGAGAGAGTCCTAGGCAATTTTTTTAAATGAGAAAGCTCTTTTTGTACTGATATAGAGATTCCAAGAATATATTAAGGAAAAAGAATAAAATGGAGAACAGTGTATGTATATAGAATGATACAACTTGTATTTTTAAAGATTCCTAAAATACATATGCAGACATACATCTCTGGAAGTAATACAAGAAACTAATAACAGCAGCTACCTTCTTTGTTGTTTTCAGAGGAGAGGAGCACAAGTTAGGTGGAGAAGTTTCCAAGGTGGGAGGCTGGACTCACTGTGCATCTTTGTATATTTTCAGTTTTTGAACCGCCTAAATTATTTATTTGATATATATAATTTACAGCTGACAACCTGCCTGTGGAATCTGTCTTATTTAACAAACTACCTCAGAACTTTGACAGTGTGCAAGTGAACATGGACATTTTAACCAGTGTCGTTCTCTCGCAGCCTGAGGCACGAGGAGCTACCTGCAGGTTGGCTGAGGCTTTCGTCCTCTACCGCTGGTGCCCAGAGCAGCCTGGTGTGTGGAAGCCGGGAAGTGGGCACACAGATGGTCACTTGGAGCAGGGTGAGATGCAGGAAGTCTCCAGGGGCCAGTGATGCAGTAGCTTGTAGGGTTGTGGAGAGTGTCCGAGAGGAGCTGGAATCTGAGAATTACTAATTTCAAGATATAAGACCGGAAAGTAGGGATGGAGAACGAAGACCCCTCATCCCAAGCTTCAGGGCCAGGGAGGTGCCCAGGGGAGCTCCAATGCCAGCTTCTCAAGGACCAAACCCCACCTGTTGCTGCTGTGCAAAGCAGGACTCTAGCTGTCTCCACGGTAACCACTTTCTGTCAGCCATCAGAGATACTTACTGAGGGGATCTTCCTCACACAGATACCTCTGCAAGAGAAGGATGGATGCGTCTTTCACACCCACTCTGCACTTACTGCCTCCTGCTGTGAGTGTCTATTCTATGGCCCTGATTTTTTTTTTTTCAGATAGAGTCTGTCTAGCCCACACTGGCTTCAAACTGGTGATCCTCCTGCCTCAGCCTCCCAAGTGCTTGGATTACAGGCATGTGCCACCACACCGAGCCCTGTCCTGAATTTTTAATTGCTATTGTATCTGTGGAGCTGGGCCTTGGCTCCTTTATCACCTTTCTTGGCCCTCCTCTGTCCATCTGCCTCATGTCACCATGCTTCCTGAGCTGAGGGGCACAAGCCTCTGCATTTCTTCCTGGAGTGTCCATCTCAGCCCCTTACATTAACAGCCACCCTACTCAGCTGGATGGGTTTACTGTGCCCTACCCCAGAAGGAGCACTCACCTGTGAGAACAGAGTTCTGAGGTTTAGAGTAGGCTCAATCTACTTTGCTCCCCCTCTGGCCCTTGCACACACTATTTTCTCTCTCTTGAACAACTTGTATAGCTCTTTTCCCATTGATTCAATAAATATTTATTAAGCACCTACTATGTTCCAGGAACTGCATGAGGTCTGGTAGATAGTGGTAAGCAAAACAGTCTCTATGCCCTGTCCTCATGCTAGAGATGCGGTTCAGTGGTAAAGCTTATATTTAGCATGTATCCTGAGTTTGATCCCCAGCAAAACAAAAAAGAAATGAACCCTGTTTTCAAAGACTTCATGGTTGTTTTTGACTAATGTGCCTTCCAGGAAAGCTGGGCCTCCCAATCTGTGTAGCTGTCCATCCTGTGTAATCCCTTCCCCATCTGGGCTGTCACCCTTCCTTCGGTACTGTCCTCCATAGATAGGCCTGCTGGGGTAATCTTAGACCCAGGATGGACCATCCTCCTCACATACTGGCCCAGCTGGAAGCTCCTCTCAGGTCCTGCCCTGTTCAGGAGACAAATTCATTTCATAGAATTATTTGGAAGATTGAAATAATTGGTTGCTAACTGGCCAGCACTGTGCCTGGGGCAGAGACTAGTACATTTGTATTCACTGCACTGTAGTGTAGTGATTACAAGCAAGGACCTGACAGTCAGGCAGGTGCAAATCTTAGCAGATCACTTATCGTGTATCATTGAGCATATTACATGATGACTAATTCAGCTTCCTCATTTACAAAATGGTGACTAATCATGACAGATAAGATATTTTGAAAACACAGTGTCTTTAAGCTCTGTGCATCATCATCTCTCCAATTCATACCAGAATCTTGTGACACAGGTCCATTTCTTAGCCCTGTTTTACAGTTAGGTTACGATATTCACCAAAAAGCACACCGCTGGCCATGCAAACTCAGGTTGCTCATTACCAAAGCATGAGTATGTATCCCCTCTCCTCCAGCCAGCCTTTCCCATTGTTTCTACCTCACCTAATACAAGGTTGTAGGGATTATAGATGGTGCCTTGAAACGATTAGTCCTTAAACATCCTGGAAACATATAAACATATGAAAGAAACAGGAAGGACAGTGATGCAGGGCAGTGGGTGGTGCTTCTCAGACTTATTCCTATTAAGCAAACCAATAGTTCTGATCACTATTCCCCACATATTGCACAAGGACGAAGCATTGTTCTCAACATTGTGTACTCATCAGTGACCTGGATTGTATACCACAGTGACTCATTAATCTTCGCTAATAACTGTGCCTCAGTATCATCTGCTAGTTCATCAATTTGTCTAGTTACTGTGCCAGCACAAAGAGGAACATATGCCACCTTTTGAACTGCACCTTCTCCTAAAAGATTAGGAGAAATGTCCTTAGCAGCAGGCAGAATCAGCTCTTCATTAATGTAAAGGGCTTAGCTGAGCAATGCAGTTAGCCACTAAGAGTGATGCTGTCATGAAAATGCATTTGATAAAGTGATGGCCTTCAGTAATTGCTTCTGTTCTTTTTGTTCAAGCTATTTTTTTCTGTTGAAAAACTCCAAAACCTTGTCTTTCAATGGACAGTGCTTGGAATACACAAAAAAAGCAGTTTTGAGGGTTCCCTGGCTTTGTTGGCTAGCCTGTCACCATATATTATATAAAATGGGCTTGGAGAATCTGAATAACCTGTTGGAATGTACTATACTTTAAGTATGACTTGGTTTTTTATTTTAAATACAGCTTTCTTTTTATTGGCAATCTTAGAGTCTTCTGCTGTCTCATCATTGGATCTTTCTCCCTTTTGCAAGAAGCTCTCCAGTGACATTTGTCTTTTAGTTATTTTGGCTAGGATTAACTTATAAGCTTACTAAAACTGTGTCTGAGACAAGTATGCAGTGCAGGAAAGAGGTATGGACAGAAGTGGTAAATAAAATAATAGACAGGCCATGCATGGACCAAAATTCTGACTTAAATCCTGCCACCAGATGTAGCTTGTCATAAGCCACTCACTGATAGGGGTGTTTTCTTTTGTTGTTGTTTTTTGAGACAGGGTCTCTTTGTAGTTTAGGGTGGTCTTGA